CATTTCTCTATCAATTGAACAGACTTGTACGGGATCCACACAGCCCACATACAATCACGTGCTCATCTGTTCTTGAAGCCAGTGGAGTGTGTCCAGTCAAGTAAATTTTGGACAAAAACAAGAGAAGAGCGTTGGGACTGGAGGCACACACCCTTATTGTTCCTTCATCCTGCTAGCCAGCATCTGCATGTGATGATGTGTGGTTCTGCATTCTTCCTGGAAGAGTCGTACAGAGAACCAAGCCCAAGGATTCAGGAGCAGAAAGCCATAAGCCAATAGGCAACTTACTATTCATCATGAGAATGTGGGGATATTAATGAGAAATAACTTACCAAATTGTTCAAAAAATTGATTTGGGAAGGGAAGAGGCAAGAGGTTGCACTGTAATAATTGTTTGCTATCCTTGACATTCTTTTCTATTGAATCATAAAATTGAGGCAAAAATGGATCCAGTATAATTCTAGGATGTTTTATTCAAAATGCTTAGCACTTGCTTATAGAAGATAGGAACTGAAAGAATTATAATATTTTAATGATAATTCAAGTAATTTTTTTTGCCCCCAATTTCTCCCCACATAAATACACTTTTGCCCTAGTCTAGGTTATTCTTCCTGGAACAGATTTGAGAAAGCAAATAGTCTACTGGGTTGCATTCCATGTCCATTCTATTACATTTACATTAGAAAAAGCACACAGAATCTCCCTATGTTTAGTTCCCATTTCCAGTAAAACTGAAGTATTTATCTTTACATACCATTACATTTCTTGCATCTTTGCCCACATTCATATTCTTTCTTCCACATAAAGAGTCTTTCTCCCCATTTCTAAGGGTTTTGATGTCTTCCAATCCCTGTGATTCCATGTTAAATCCTCATTTCATGGAGAATTTCATGTTCTCTTTAGACCTCACTTCTCTTTCTTGTTTAGAGCTAGATAGTTCTGTCAGGATATCACATCTGATTTATTGCTTCACTGTCTATGTTTACTTGTACTCTCTGCATGCTGGACATGACCTATGCACCCCTTCCTAACCTGGCCCCTGACATCCACCCAAGGCCCACAGCTCTCACCCCATTTCACTTTACCATTTTCACACCACCCTAGATAAGACATTCTTGCTGAGTCTTTTCACATCTAACATACTGGCTCACTGGCACTTCAGAAGCTACGAGAGACACCCTCCTCAATGGTTCTTGGCCTTTGCTCAGGCCAGGAATAGTAAGCATAGAGGGATGTGGGGGCACTGAGACAGACCAGGCTTTCTCAGGGTGCAGCAGAAGAGTTCCGGCATCACGGGGGTGAGGGGATGGTCGGTATCAGTACCACCTGTGTGCAGTGAGATTAAGCATTGGCTGAAGAAAACAAACTGCCTTCTCCAACCCCTCCCCATTATTCCTTCTCTTCTTAGCATATTTTATCTCCACTCTTAGGCTAGAACACACTCTCCATTAAGGACTCTGTTTATGGCTTGTCCCTTATACTAGAAAGAAGCTCCAGGGAAGGCCACTTGGTGGACCTCACTTGCTGCAGTGTTGTGTCTCTTGGGTGTTTGAAGGGTCAATGGATGAACTTACTTATTCCACAGACTAGCTGTTACAGAGACGCAGATAAAGCAGAGGGACTCACTTTACCAAAGTGATTCTGTTTATCTTCATTTTTGATAGGTTCATGAGTCAAATAATGACCAAATAAACTGAACATGTAAGTGAATGCATCAACAAAAGTTCAGCTAACTTACTTAATTTATGCATAATTATTTTGAAAGCTAAAACTTACTGAGTATTTTATTTACTTATTTATTTAATTTTTCAATTGAGGTAACATTGGTTTATAACATTATATAAATTTCAGATGTATTAATTATATTTCACTTCTGCACAGACTACACTGTGTTCACCACAAAAGATATAATTTCTATCTATCACTGTACAAATGTCCCCCTTTACCCCTGTCACCTTCCCCCCACCCCCTTCCCCTCTGGTAACCATTAATCTTTTCTCTGTATCTACGTGTTTGTTTGTTGTTGTTTTATCTTCCATGCATCAGTGAGATCACAGGGTATTTGTCTTTTTCTGAGTTATGTTGCTTAGCAAAATACAATCCAGGTGTATCCATGTTGTTGAAAATGGCAAAACTTCATCTTTTTGTGGCTGAGTAATGTCCCATTATATGCACCATGTTTTCTTTATCCATTCATCCATCAGTTGCACTTAGGTTCTCTCCAAGTCTTGGTGACTGTAAATAATGCTGCTATGAACATAAGGGTGCATATATCTTTTCAAACTAGTGTTTTTTGTGTACTTTGGAGAAATATCCAGAAGTGGAATATTTGGATCATATGGTAATTCTATTTTTAATTATTTGAGGAATCTCTACACTGTTTTCCATAGTGCATGTACCAATTTACATTCCCACCAACAGTGTACAAGGATTCCCTTCTCTCCGCATGCTCTCCAACACTTGCTATTTCTTGTCTTTTTAACAAAGCCATTCTCATGGATGTGAGGTGATGTCTCATATTGTTCTTTAGGGGAAAGGATGGCTATTTCACCTGGGGGTCTGTATTTTGTGTGTGGGGGGGGGGCGGGTGGGTGGGTATGTCCAGTCCTACTATTAGAGTTGGTCTTTTTCTAAGAGCAAGATTTTAAAAATCAGACCACTAAGTTCAGATCTGTGTAAAAGTGGACATACATTTTGCCCCAATAAACTTGCCTCCATTTTTCAAAAATGAAAACTAATATTGGACCTAGTTTATAAGGTTATGATGATCAATAAAATAAGAAAATAAAAGTAAAACATGAGACAAAATGCAATCATAATGTAATTCATGAGTGAAAGTTATTTTATATTTATTCTTATTGTTGTTATTCGTTATTTTACAATATTAAACTATATTTACTACATCTCAGTGAAGATCTGATTCCCTTAATGCACCTTAAAGAGACTGTAGAAATAAAATATTTAATGAAATCACCCTTTGATCAAAGAATGACTGTGTTTAGGGGAACAAACAAGGTTTAAAATACAAGAAAAGGCTGAGCTCCACTAGAGACTCTGAATGTGGCATTCAGGTTGAAAACAAGTTCCTCAACCCGCCCTTCTTCTAAATTGCTGGCTTCCACTTCCAACACACCCCAGGAAAATGCAAAACTGCTTCTCTTATGTGCTCCATGATATTGTCTTCTCTAGACCATTTTTCTCTTTAATTCACTTGAGATGGGGAAAACAATTCTGACTAAAATGCTATTCAAAAAAGAAAAGGGCAAAAGATAGGGTTGAGATTAAGGAAAGAAGGCAAAAGTAAAAAAAATATTAAATTTTAAACATGTTATTCTAAACTATGGCCTTACAGTTGATTTTATATTTAATTGCTTTGTCTTTGTACAGCATGTAAATACATACTTACAAATATACAGATATATCAATAAATATATATTTTTAATTCTTTTCTTGGCAAATCCAATTGCCTCTCTAAATGCGCAAAATTTCTTGGCTGAAAATTATTGTAGGTACATACTCATTTATCAACAACAGATAAGAAATATGTTTTAATGAACGACCAACCTTAACTTTTGTAACCTATTTTTTATCCTCCTTCTTTGGGCAAATTGTACCTGCTAGAAAAAAATGTTTCAGATTTTCAATGACATAATTCCAGCAATGGAATTGGAATATTTTGTTACAATTAATAATTAAACAGAAAAACTTACAGTTTCAAATCCATATGATGTGGTTGAAGAGATATATTAAAAAAACACTCAATTTTATGAAATAGTTAATCTTCAAGAATTGAATGAAAACAGAGAAGTTAGAAAATATATAATAAGTGATTGAATATAATTTTGTGTCAAAAATTTCAAACAATCCTCTGAACACCATATATTGTCTCTTAGTAAACAACAAGTAACAAAAAGTGTTAGCTTTCAAAACATCTACATTTTTTAAAGCCTAAATGGATTGTTAACAAAGGAAGATATACCAATAGGCAATAAGCTGATGCAAAAGTCTTGGGCTTTATTACACATCAGGAAAATGCAAGTTAAAACCAAAATATATTACAACACGGAATTGAAGAGATAAAATGAAAAAGCTTGATGATACTCAAACAATTGCTGCCAAACTGGAGCAACTGGCACGCGCTTTGCTGGTGGCGGTAAAACTGAGCGTCCACTTCATAAAACAATTTACTAAGTTAATCATTCACGTATTAGGGAAGTAAAAACATATGGTCACAAAAAGGAGGTGAATAGCAGCTTTAGTCATAACAGCTCAGACTGGATATAGCCCAGATATCTGTCAACAAAACTGTGCATAAATAGTGGTGATATACTCGGACAAGAGAATGCTACTTAGCAAGAAAACAGAGCACACTGTCGATAAATGTAAAATTGTAGAAGAATCTTTAAAAACAGATAAAGTGGAGATAAAAACATAAGACGTAAAAAAAATACCTACTGTACATTTTCATGGACGTGACAAACTAAACTACGCCTAACTAAAGAATAAACATAAACATCAGGCCAGTGGTTTATCTTGATTGGGGCATTTCACTGGAAAAGAGCATGACGGATCTTTCTGGTCCAGTGAAATCTGTGTCTCTTGCTGGTGGGTACAGGTTACAAGTGCAAATATTGTCAAAACTGGTTGAACATACTCTTCAGATGTGAGCATTCTACTATTTGTAAATTATACTGCAACTTGAAAACATCAACAATTAACTCTTCAAATTGTTTGACTATTTATTTCATTCTTCGAACAAATATTTATTGTGAGCTGTCCTATAGAAACATTTTAACAAAAATTTGTGATTCAAAGATTTTTAACAATCCACAATTTGTTTATGACAGCTTAGTAAATGATCACAAAGTATGGAAGTCTGTCTGCATTTCAGAGTAAAATAGAAATTCAGATGTAGATATAATGCATGTATAACTTTTCTCCAGGACGCCTTGCACAATCACTTTGTACAGTCTTGAGATTTGGGTCAGATCAATATAATCTTAGTTATGACTTAAGGCAGCCCACTGGCCCATACACTTTCTCAGGGCCCCCTTGACCTCCCTGTTCCTCAGACTGTAGATGAGGGGGTTCAGCACAGGGGTGAAGATAGTGTAGAATGCTGACACGACCTTATCGTGGTTAGCTGACCTGTAGGATTTGGGTCTCATGTAGGTGAAAATGGCAGCTCCATAAAAGAGTCCCACCACAGCCAAATGTGAGGAGCAGGTGGCAAAAGCCTTCTTGCAGGCTTCTCTGGAACGCTTCTGGAGAACAGCTGTGAGGATGAGACTGTAGGAGGTCAGGATGAGAGATAAGGGGACCAGGAGCATTAACACACAGCAGATGTACATGACATACTCAAAGACAGATATGTCAGCACAAGCCAAACGCACTACAGTGGGGGCCTCGCAGAAGAAATGATCGATCTCATGTGCACTGCAAAATGGGAAGCTCAGGGTAGTGGCAGCCTGCATGAGCCCATCCGCTGCCCCCAGGAACCAAGACCCCAAAGTCATTCTCAGGCATAACTGCGGGCTCATGAGGACAGGGTATTGCAGTGGATGGCAAACAGCCACGTAGCGGTCATAGGACATGGCTGCTAACAAGAAGCACTCACCCCCTCCCAAAGTAAGCAAGAAGAAAATCTGCAACCCACACCCAGCAGGGGAGATGGACTTCTTGCCAGTCAAGTAGTCAGCTGCCATTTTGGGCACAATGGTGGAAACCAGCATCATGTCCATGAGGGAGAGTTGGCTCAACAGGAAGTACATGGCTGTGCGGAGGTGGGGCTCCTGGTGAATCAGGAGAAGCATGAGGGCATTGCCCAGCAGGGAGGTAAAGGCAATTGTCAGAACCATCACAAAGAGAAATGGGTGGGCTTCTGTGTGGTTAAAGAGTCCTAGGAGAATGAAACCTGAAGTGGTGTTCCCGTTTTCCAGGATTTCGAAGAAGAGTAACACTGCAAATGGATAAATAGATGAGAGAATTTTCACCATTTACAATGCTCTATTTGAATTATGTGTTTATTTTTAAGTACACATGTGAAAATGATGAAATCTATTTCAAATCCTTCATTTGACATTTTCAAATGTTTTAACTTGGGTGTAAAATTAATTTCAATTTTTCTCTCATTTTCAAACTTTTCAAAATTAGGATCTCCCAGCTTCCTTAGTGATTACTTAGCATAATGAACAAAAGTTGTTGATAAATTACAAGAACATGGTGTTTCTTTGTGCTACCTGACACCCACATAAGTGAACAGAAGGAAATTACTCACATAAATTGTCATTTATATTAGTACTTGCTTTACATAATGCACAGTCAATATTCTTAGAGGCTGAATTAATGTGTTTAACTATATAAAAGCCACGTTCTTGATAATGAGGGTTACACATATCTAACATGTTAAAATTTACTGAAACCTACAAAAATCAGATAATTTTCCGTGATGTTGATTAATCCAGGAAGGCAGTTTTACTTTCCAAACAAGAGGACTTGTATTTTCAGGTCTAGAAACTGGAAGAACTGAGTCTGCAGATGGAAACATAAATTAATTTGGAATTATTAGTGCGTTTAGTTTAACTTTACTGAGTATAGAGTGAAAACAGTAATGACTTTCTTAGAATATTTCCCCCCAATGCAATACTATAATACTTAAGGCAACTTTCATTAACTGTAAATAAGTACTTTCTGTAATGAAACTGTTTTCCTTTAAAGCCACAGAAACACAATCTTTACTGTGTACAAAAGAGAAAATAAAACTCTTTAGTTCTTCACCCAACCACAGAGATAAAACAATTTCTTCTTCAGTCCCAAGGGAATCTAAATCTTTAAAAGTATTTTCATCTCTGATCTACTGGGGTTGAAAGTGTTCTAGCTTGTTGAGTAAACACAGTCATGGATGTAGTGATGCGGATGCTAATTCAGTCTCAAGGATATGGTGTAATTCAGTGGGGCTACTTGACAGAAGTTCACCTCTTCTATGGTCATTTCCTTTGCCCCGACTTTATGCCTCCATTCCATACTTGAATGTCAGTAAATATGGAGAAGGGCAGTGAAAGAGGCTCCCTCTATCCCTAACTCCATTGCTGTTGCTTGAGCATCATCATCATACTGGCAGAATTCTACTTGGGGGTTTAGCTGGTTGTCTCAAAGTTAGCCATGGCGGAAACACATTTTCTCCTTCTCAAATATTTTTTGCATTTGCCAAGACTTTGTGATCTGCATACTCACATATTTCTAACAAGCAGCCTGTACCCCTAGTAGCTATATGCATAATTATAGCCCTTAGTTTCACTTTCCTGAAGGACCTCAATACCCTCCTAACTCATGTCTATGACTTGAAGTCTTATTATTGTCCATTATTTCCATCTCTCTTATTGTTGAAGATTGTTAAAACTTTAAACCTGCTTAAAAATCAATAAGTAACTTAGTAAATGTAAGGTGTTGGGCAAGTTTCTTAAACTATTTTTTGCTCTCATCTTACCTATTTTTAAGTGTACTGTCAGTTCAGTAGCATTAAGAATATTCACATATCTGTGCAACCATCACCAATACTAATTCCCAGGACTTTTCTCATCTTCTCAAACTGAAACTCTGTACCCATTAAATAATAACTCCTCATTCCCCTTTCTCCCTAGCCCCTGACAACCCTTGTTCTACTTTCTGTCTCTATAAATTTGACTACTCTAGGAAACTCAGATAAGTGAAATAGTACAGTATTTGATTTTTGTGACTGGCTTATGTCATTTAAAATAATGTTCTCAATGTTCATCCATGCCATAACATGTCAGAATTTCTTTCCACTTTAAGGCTGAATAATATCCCTTTGCATGCATATGCTACATATTACCTATTAATTCATTCCATCTATGGTCATTTGTATTCCTTACACTCCAGTTGTGTATTTAAGCAGCAATTTAATGGGATTTTTGATAACATGATATTTTTCTACTTTGGTAAGGTAAATATGCATAGCAAAAAAATGCAGCATTTTGAGCTAAATTTTTGCTTACCTCATGCAAGAGAGGTTTACATATTTTTTGAGAATAATTATAACAATTTACATGAATTTTCATTTTATAAAATACATTTTCTTATTAGGAAGTTTCTACTTCTGGTTAAGTATTTTAACAAGTATTAAATCATTAGCTCTTAACTTTTCAATAGAAATAAGTGATATATCTATGCATTTTTTAGGTGAAATACATTGTATTAAAATAATCAGTCATCATCAATCTAATTGACTAGTCAGCATGCTAATAGTATTTAGATTATCTAATGGAAAACTCAGCTAAATGTCAATTAATTACATGAATAGTAGGTAATTATATTTTCTTATGATGTGATAATGTTTATTTATTTAGTTAAAGTTCCTATGCGTCTGTTCGTATTACACAGGTGAGACTATTTGCCTCTGATTAGAATGTGTGTAGACCTACACAAGAAGGATCTAAGGGATAGTTTCTACCAAAATTGACTATAGACACAGTGTGGGAGAAATCTAAGTTGAAGAATTAACTCATTTTGCAAATACAATATCTACAATGACATTAAATGGAAGAACGAAAGCTTAATTTGGATTCATGCAGAAATACGAAAATTTAATATGTTTTTAAAAATATGTCTTTACTTTCTTCACTATGCATTCAGAATGCTAAAGATTTTGCCTTTTCTTGTTTTGACAGTCTTTCACTTAGAATGGTGCTAAAATTTTGATATCTTTAGTTTAAATCACAAAATCACCTCTTTTGCAATGCTTCTAAAAGATACAAATATATCCTTTCCTTTTTCTCAGAGAGTAACCAGAATACTTATAAAACTGCCTATAAGTTTCCTTCTCTATTTTTCTGATTCCCTGTTTCCCTCAGTTAACGTTAAATCTATAAGTCTTTTTCCCAAGTATACTGGGGTGATTAATCAATCTGCTCCATAAAAACTCAAAAACTAACAGCCAAATCTTTTATTTGACAGATTATTACAAGAATTTTAGTTCGTCAAATTGTAAGATAGATAATGAGTGGATTTTATTTGTAAAACTATATAGAAAAACGGTATTACTATGGATTTTTCTGGGGTATAAAATTCATGAGCAAATTAGTAAATATTAAGAGTTTAGCATGACTCACATAAGATAGCAATGATGACCCCCAACAGGCTGGATCAGCATTGCCTCTGAGCAGCATGAGGACAAGGCCTCTCTCTGGGTGGATGAAGGCTCCTCTAGCCAGGGGCAGCATCAAGCTCACTCATATCAGTCTCTAGAGTGACCTCTTAAGGGGTGTGGCCTATTGCCATCTTATGCTAAAAATCCTATCTTATTAATATGCCAGAGCTGCCTAAGTCTGACTCTTTGGATGTCAGAGATGTTTATTTTCAGGAGTTTTAGATTCCCAGAGCTTCATTATAATTCCAGACATCCTTTAATAAAGCTGTGATTCATTAAAATAAGAAAATCAATTACAAAGAAAAGTAAAATGTAAATAAATGTCCTTGGAAAGATTTGATGTTTTAAAAATACATGAGGGTGTAAATTAATGATTCCAGCATCACTTGTTGGCACTTTGATAAGGAGGGAAGATTAAAGAGTATGTTATTGAATGACAAGATATGTCAAAGGTTGTAATTAAACTGATGAAACTCATGGTAGAATTCAGCTAATTTTCTTTTCTTTTTTGAACTTAATTTGATAGAATCGCTGTATGTTATAAATTTCAGTTTGTTTATAACAATGTAATATAATTTTATTTTATTTTATGTATTTGTTTGTATCTATATAATAAAATCCATGATAATAACAACAAGTCACAGGAGGTTGCATTAATTGTGCCAAGCACTTTGCAGTTTGATTCTATTTGGGTTCATTTTAATAATTATTTCATTGTGATTTATATTTTAGGTTTCCAGTCAAATCTTGGTTCTTGGCTCCTTTTTTACCACTCTTGTTAATTTGGCTTGTCTAAGAGTAAATATAATTAGCACTTTCCACATCTGTAAAATTTTTAAAAACTACCTCTCTCATGGAATAGTTGATGGGAAAAGCTGCCTTTGTTCAAAAGCGAGCTAGTGTAATTGCTTAATCCAGACAAGCTGTAATAACTGGCAGTGTGTTTGTTTAGAAGGGGACTGGTAGTATGGCAGCCTTTGAGTAAGACCTTCAGAAAGAGTGTAATAATCATTTTCAATAAACCTTCATCTTTCCCGTCCTGAAGATTGCTGTGCCTGAGGTGACAGATCTGTCAAAATGATGCTCTAGTACCACAGTGTTGCCACTGTCAGGTGGGGAAGTAGATTTTGTACAACGTACATCCAACACTGTGTGGGCTCCCAGGAGGCCTGAGAATAAAGATCAGACAAGAACAACGTCAGAGGAGAAACGAGCATACCACTCAGAACTCCATCAGGAAACTGAGATTGCAGTGAACCTGGGGGTCTAAATTGAGATTAAGACTATTTATAAATAGGTGGGCATACTTGAAGGAAACCAAAGAGAAGTTGTACCACACTCCCATTTTAGCAAGAACAGGAAGTTTTGATGACCCCTCCTCTTAAAGGCTCATGGGGATGGAGTAGATTCTAGATTTCACATAGGCAGACTGTGTGGAAAAGATAAGGCTGCCACCAAGTGCTCCTATCTGGCCAGAGTGCAGAGCCAAAGGCAGGAAGCAAGGGAAATAAATACTACTCTACTCTTGCCTTCCTCACTCCTCTGGGTCACGCTTGGTGATTCCTGGGGCCTAGACTCTGAGATAGATTTAGACATGCAGGAAGTTCATTGTGGAGTGCCCTTAGCACATAATATGGCCATTTTAACTGTGTTTATTCTTCCAATCTATGAGCGCAGAATATACTTCCATTTCTTTATTTCTTCATCAATTCCTTTCAATAATGTCTAACAGTTCTCAGTGTATAGGTTTTTCACCTCCTTAGTTAAATTCATTCCTAGGTATTTTATTCTTTTTGTCATGATTGTGAAGAGCATTGCATTCTTGATTTC